AGCTGCCGCTTTCAAGGAGCGTGACTCTAACCTGGAAGCTTATAAGAAATCCCGCTATGCCCTCCGACTAACCATCAAACAGGCAAAGAGTCAATACAGGACTAAGATCTAATCGTACTACACCGGCTCCGATGCTCGTTGGATGTGGCAGGGCTTGAAAACTACTACAGGCTACAAAGGGAAGCACAGCCGCGAGCTGCCCAGTGACACAAGCCTACCAGATTAGTTAAATTCCTTCTATGCTCGCTTCGAGGCAAGTAACACTGAAACATGCATGAGAGCATCAGCTGTTCCGGACGACTGTGTGATCACGCTCTCCATAGCCGATGTAAGACCTTTAAACAGGTCAACATTCACAAGGCCACAGGGCCAGGACGTGTACTCTGAGCATGCGCTGACCAACTGGCAAGTGTCTTCACTGACATTTTCAACCTCTCCCTGTCTGAGTCTGTAATACCAACATGTTTCAAGCAGACCACCATAGTCCCTGTGCCCAAGAACACTAAGGTAACCTGCCTAAATGACTACCGACCCGTAGCACTCACGTCTGTAGCCATGAAGGGCTTTGAAAGGCTGGTCATGGCTCACATCAACACCATTATCCCAGGAACCCTAGACCCACTCCAATTCGCATACCGCCCCAACAGATCCACAGATGATGCAATCTCTATTGCGTTCCACACTGCCCTTTCACAACTGGACAAAAGGAACACCTATGTGAGAATGCTATTAATTGACTACAGCTCAGCATTCAACACCATAGTGCTCTCAAAGCTCATCACTAAACTAAGGAGCCTGGGACTAAACACCTCCCTCTGCAACTGGATCCTGGACTTCCTGACGGGCCACCCCCAGGTGGTTAGGGTAGGTAACAACACATCCGCCACGCTGATCCTCAACACGGGGGCCCCTCAGGGGTGCGTGTTCAGTCCCCTCCTGTAATCCCTGTTCACTCATGACTGCATGGCCAGGCACGACTCCAACACCTTCATTCAGTTTTGCCAATGACACAACAGTTGTAGGCCTGATCACCGACAACGACGAGACAGCCTATAGAGAGGAGGTCAGAGACCTGGCCGTGTGGTGCCAGGACAACAACCTCTCAACATGATCAAGACAAAGGAAATTATTGTGGACTACAGGAAAAAGAAGAGGACCGAGCACGCCCCCATTCTCATCGGCGCGGCTGTAGTGGAGCAGGTTGAGAGCTTCAAGTTCCTTGGTGTCCACATCACCAACAAACGAACATGGTCCAAGCACACCAAGACAGTCGTGAAGAGGGCACGACAAAACCTATTGTTGCTGGTATTTTGGCCCATTCCTCCATGCAGATCTCCTCTAGAGCAGTGATGTTTTGGGGCTGTCGCTGGGCAACACGGACTTTCAACTCCCTCCAAAGATTTTCTATGGGGTTGAGATCTGGAGACTGGCTAGGCCACTCCAGGACCTTGAAATGCTTCTTACGAAGCCACTCCTTCGTTGCCCGGGCGGTGTGTTTGGGATCATTGTCATGCTGAAAGACCCAGCCACGTTTCATCTTCAATGCCCTTGCTGATGGAAGGAGGTTTTCACTCAAAATCTCACGATACATGGCCCCATTCATTCTTTCCTTTACACGGATCAGTCGTCCTGGTCCCTTTGCAGAAAAACAGCCCCAAAGCATGATGTTTCCACACCCATGCTTCACAGTAGGTATGGTGTTCTTTGGATGCAACTCAGCATTCTTTGTCCTCCAAACACGACGAGTTGAGTTTTTACCAAAAAGTTATATTTTGGTTTCATCTGACCATATGACATTCTCCCAATCCTCTTCTGGATCATCCAAATGCACTCTAGCAAACTTCAGACGGGCCTGGACATATACTGGCTTAAGCAGCGGGACACGTCTGGCACTGCAGGATTTGAGTCCCTGGCGGCGTAGTGTGTTAATGATGGTAGGCTTTGTTACTTTGGTCCCAGCTCTCTGCAGGTCATTCACTAGGTCCCCCCGTGTGGTTCTGGGATTTTTGCTCACCGTTCTTGTGATCATTTTGACCCCACGGGGTGAGATCTTGCGTGGAGCCCCAGATCGAGGTAGATTATCAGTGGTCTTGTATGTCTTCCATTTCCTAATAATTGCTCCCACAGTTGATTTCTTCAAACCAAGCTGCTTACCTATTGCAGATTCAGTCTTCTCAGCCTGGTGCAGGTCTACAATTTTGTTTCTGGTGTCCTTTGACAGCTCTTTGGTCTTGGCTATAGTGGAGTTTGGAGTGTGACTGTTTGAGGTTGTGGACAGGTGTCTTTTATACTGATAACAAGTTCAAACACTCGGGTGGTTGATGTTCTTGATGATCTTTTTGGCCTTCCTGTGACATTGGGTGCTGTAGGTGTCCTGTAGGGCGGGTAGTTTGTCCCCGGTAATGCGTTCGGCAGACCGCACCACCCTCTGGAGAGCCCTGCGGTTGCGGGCTGTGCAGTTGCCATACCAGGCGGTGATACAGCCCGACAGGATGCTCTCAATTGTGCATCTGTAAAGGTTTGTGAGGGTTTTAGGTGCCAAGACAAATTTTTCAGCCTCCTGAGGTTGAAGAGGCTCTGTTGCGCCTTCTTCACTGCGGTCCCATCAATGTGGATAGGGGGGTGCACCCTCTGCTGTTTCCTGAAGTCCACAATCATCTCCTTTGTTTTGTTGATGTTGAGTGAGAGGTTATTTTCCTGGCACCACACTCCCAGACCTGTTGCACCCTCTACAACCACTGTGATTATTATTTGACCCTGCTGGTCATCTATGAACATTTTAACATCTTGAAGAACGATCTGGCCTTAATGGCCATGTATTATATGACCCTGCTGCCCCGGAGCTGGAGAGGAATTGAAATTCACTTGCAACCAATGTTCCCTCCAATATTTTGGGGCACTGAGCAAATTTTAGGTCTTGTGAGTGGAAACTTGCATTTTGTGCAACTTCCGGCGCGCGTTTACAGTGAACTCTGAGGCTGTACTCTTACAGTTTTAGACAGTAGCCAATAGGCTATTTTGGCTATTTGAGCATAATGTAGGCCTACCAACAAAACCAATGGAGCGAATCCCATAACATTTTCACATGGAAATGGCTTTTGATTTCTATGATATAGCCTACAGTTGCCTATGTGGTGTTCAATGCAGGCCTACATTGCATGAGACTTTTAAAAACGTTTTTACATTATGAAGGGCTTGACAATTAAATATGTTTTACTTGGTCTGTAATACCATGGGCCAAATAGGGGACTGCATTGTGTTGTATGATGCAAGAAACCACTTTACAAAATTAAATGAATTATTATTACCATACAGAGAATTAGATAATGTAGGCTACCCCTCTGCCTATTGGCTTAGTTAATTATTATTACCATACAGAGAATTAGACAATGTTGGCTCCTCTGCCTATTGGCTTATTTGCATATTCAAGCCTATCTCAAAATATAACACTGCCCCTTTAATTAAGACATTTTTACCTGACTGGCTTTTCAAAGACAGCTTGAAATGTAGCCTACACGGTTTGTGCCCTTGTAGAAAGCAGGAACTCCCCATTGCTGACCTATACTTATCTATAACTGGGCAAATAACTCGCCAACTAGCGAAGAATATCAACAAATGTGCACACGCGCGTCTGCGCTCTGATCTGAACTGATCTGAAAAGCGCGTTCACTCGCAGGTGATTGAAAGACCGCTCGTGGGCCACCCCCGCCAATAGAATTCTACTTCGTTGCGCTCTGGCTCTGCCTACAACATAATCACAGACTCAACCTTGCAGAGTTCGATTTGTTTTGGTTTGTTGCATTGAAATGGGTCTGATATAATGTTGATTCGATCACAAAAAAAACGTTCATCTATATAGTGCAAACAAATGTGGCGAACTCGGTGAGATTCAATCTGACTGCGAATAGAAATAAACTCTTAGAAAAAAAGGTGCTAAGTAGAACCATACAGGGTTCTTGGGTTTGTCCCCATAGGGGAAACCTTTTTGGTGCTGGGTAGAACTCTTTGCAGAGGGTTTTATCTAGAATCCTCTATGTAGGGTTCTTCAAAGGACCCCCGGTATATGGTTCTACTTAGAACCCTCTATGAAGGGTTCTACCAATGACCATTTTATCATCTAAAGGTTCTTCCTAGCAGGGCCATTCGAGTAGACGGGATTAGCCCAGAAGGCTAATAATTTCACAACTATTCTTTCAAAATAATATTTATTGTCAGACACATATTGATGTAATCAGTCAATGGTGCCACCTGTCAATGATCAATTGTTTGGTGCCACCCCCTTGTTTTCGTTCGGTGCACCCCTTGTTTTCGTTCGAAGTGAAAACACTACAAAGAAGTAGGGCAGCATAGGGTCGCCCACGACCTGCGGATTCCCGCTTTAAACGGAACATTCTGTAGACATCATCAGTCTGGACAAAGTTCCTCATGGTTATACCCATGTTCCTTAAAACGGAACGGACTATACACTTCTCACTGTGGTTTGCAACACAAAACTAAATTGATGTATACTGCGGTCACAATAACTTTACAGTACAGATAAGCGAGAGTATTTATGCCTGAGGAGGTTGGCAGATTGCTACGAACCTCTCAGAGGAGCGTGTCTGTCTCCCCATATGCATACGTCTGACTATTGTTTGTCTATTAAACATTTACATAACATTTACATTTACATTATTTAGCAGACGCTCTTATCCAGAGCGACTTACAGGAGCAATTAGGGTTAAGTGCCTTGCTCAAGGGCACATAAACCTTTAAATATAGCAGTCGTTCGCCTTCTCTTTGGGGTTCTTCATTTTCCACACCTTGACCAAATTCACGATTCCCGACACTATAAGGTCTAGTGATCATTGTATTGATGTACATACAGACTCACATAATGAAAACCATAAGGGTCTATAAAGCCAACTGGTGCTAATGGACATGGTAATATACTGTTAACTACTTCCGGATTCGTCACTGACCTAAGCTTCTGTTTAGTGCATTGTTGGCATACATGCGGACATGAGATAAAGTGACTTATTGTTATAAAAAGTGGGAGGATCAAACCAAGTATATGAAGAGCAGTTTATTGGTCATGGAGTCATGCAGTCACCCCATAGTGTAATCCCATGATAGAAAGTGTTTGGATCACTAAACTGAGATCAATATCAAGGCTAAGGTAAGTGAGATTTAAAAAAGAGAAATATTTTCATATTAAACTATGCAATTAGAAATCACAAACTATAAGAAGAATTTGTAAACAAACGTATTCAATTATTTGAATTTTCGTCAAAGTTGAAGTTATCTGAATTTAGATGCATTTACGATGGAAAGTAAACTAAGACACCATGTTAGTGCCGTGGCAGCTGTGTTCATAAATTCACTCTCGACTCTGGAGTGCCAGAGTGTGCTCCGAGTGCGCTCTGGGCTATCATAAATTCAGTGCATTGTCAGATTGTCCGTTTGTAGGCTAAATTCAGAGCATTTCGCTCTGGCACTCTCAAACCACCCACTTGTATTTCATCTTAATTTTGCTTATCTAAGGGTGCGTTACGAACGGACAATTTGACAGAACTGGCACTCCAGAGTGAATTTATGACAAAGAGTTGGAAATTCCCCTAGGTATAATGATCAAGTAAACTTTCAAAAATAAACGTCATACTCAAGCTACTATAAAATGCCTCTAAATCGTAACCACTTTTTAATCCCTATCCTTTAGATGTGGAGCATAGCTGCATTGGTGTTAGTGCTGACAGGGCCTGCCTCTTGCTACATCACCTGCCCTGGTGGGAAGGTCTGCTCTGATCAATCAACCTGTTGTTTGACTAAAGGAGGATATGCCTGCTGCCCAGTTCCCAATGTGAGTAACCAGGGTTCACATTAGGGCAATTTGTAGCCTGGTCCCAGATCTCTTTGTCATGTCAACAGCCATAGCAGTTGGCAGCATGAACATCTGGAACCAGGCTAGGGAATTTGATCCCATTAGTTAATGGGATTCTCAGCAGCACTAAGGTTGTAAAGACAGGAAAAAGAAACCAGCATACTGGTACTGTTGTTTCCTTCACTTTTGGATTACAAAACCAATGTTTCAGTTGAAATACCTTGGGTTTAGAAAGCTGTACAAGCAAAGACCCCATAAAGGTATTTTGACTGCAAGCCATATCACCTTTTTTAAATTACTTTTTCCAGGAACAAAGTTCTCCTGTCTCTGCTCCGCTCGAGTCTGACAGCAGCCCTGTCCAGAGCAACGCAGTGGAGAGCTCCAATGTCGGCAAGGTGCAATGTGACAACTATTATGCTTGTCCCGATGGCACCACCTGCTGCCACCACCTCAAAGGCCTGTGGTTCTGCTGTCCGTACTCCCCTGTGAGTTGACTAGTGTTTCTCTGCTTGTAGTATGTTGGCTTGAAGGGCTCTTGTCAATTTGTAATATTGGTATAGAGTAGCTGTCAGTATCAGGAATTAGTGACTAGAGTGTGCAAAGCTGTCATCAAGGCAAAGTGTGGCTACTTTGAAGAATCTCAAATATATTTTGATTTGTTTAACACTTTTTTGGTTACTACATTTACATTTACATTTTTAGTAATTCCATATGTGTTATTTTATAGTTTTGATGTCTTCACTACTATTCTACAATGTAGAAAATAGTACAAATAAAGAAAAACCCTTGAATGAGTAGGTGTGTCCAAACTTTTGACTGGTACTGTATTTCTAAACACTTCTACATTAATGTGGATGCTACCATGATTACAGATAGTCCTGAATGAATTGTGAATAATGATTAGTGAGAAAGTTAGACGCACAAATATCATACCCCCATATCCCCAGAGCCTAAACAACAACAAATGTGTCACTGTCCCAATACTTTTGTAGCTCACTGTATCAACTTGTATACGTCTGTTTTTCCACAGGCTAGGTGCTGTCTAGATGGATACCACTGCTGTCCCTATGGCTATGACTGTGACCCCACATATACTAAGTGTGTGATGTATAGCAACCTGAGGTACCCTTTTGCTCCTAGGCAGGCCCCTTCAATGATCGAAGCCATCAAGGTCTCCAAACCGGAAAACAAGGTCCACGATCAGGTAGGTACCTATGCGTCACACTCACAGGCAACCAATGTATGTGTAGGCAGTGGACATTGTTCTCTTTCTGTATGTTCAAGTCAGTCTAAGAGAAAGGCACTTTTGATTCCCACCTTATGGGTATAAAAAAATGATAATTAATAGAGAATGATTTCATGCACACTGGTATGCTATTACATTTTAACCTCTGAGAGTAGTTTGTAATGTAATCGCATTATTCCCACGCACTTCCCACGCAACCAGATAACTCAGATATGCGAGTGCTTTTTAAATATGGAAACCCTGAGAGTAGAACATTGATGGTGTGGTTCTCTTCTTTCTCTAATATTTTAGCAGGTCCCATGGACAGCACTAGTTCAGGCCTCTGACAGCACCCCACAGGCTGGAATCATTCACTGTGACACTCAATTCTACTGCCCTTCTGCATCCAGCTGCTGCAAGGGACCTACTGGCAAATGGGGCTGTTGCCCATTCCCACTGGTAAATATACTGAAAGTGTTGGGTGTACTGTAGAGGGAATTTGATACAACTGACCTTAAATACCACTCAGCTATCATTTGATAAAGTAGTCTATCAATGTTATGTAGGTAGAGCATGTTTATTAATGTAATGAACAATCTGTAGTGCATGTACAGAGCAGTGTGAAATGTTTTAATGACATTAAGATCATGTGCAATATTATGCAGATTTTATATTACTATCATGTTCTGAGACCTATTTTTTTTATTTTTAGGCGAAGTGTTGTGAGGATGGCCTGCATTGCTGTGAATAAAGGTGGCCTGCATTGCACCTCATAAAGGTGCAGGAAATGGTACTCTCAGATTCCTTCAGGTCTGAAGGATGATGCTAAGCAGGACTGACAAGATTTCTAATTAATTCTAATCTTGTCACTGTACTGACATTGGATTGTACCTTTTTTGTGAATGCATTATCATTTAACCTTGCACTGATGAGTATAAGAATGTTGAATCATGCCACCCAATCATTCATTGCACAAAAGACAGCTCAATACACTTCAAAATAAATGTAATTCAAATTAAATGTTTCCTTGTTGAGTATTTAGTATATCATTCCTTATAGGCTATCAATCTCCACTGGCAAAAAAATTGTATCAGAGTCACATATTTATGTGCAGTATGGGTGTGTTCTAAATTCACTCTGGAGTGCCTGAGTGTGCTCAGAGTGCCCTCTGTGCGATCGTAAATTCAGACCGTTGTCAGTTTGTAAATTCAGAGCGCACACTGGACACTCCGCCGAGGAGTAGGGTTGATCCGACCGTTCTGACCTCACAACCGCAGTCAAGCACCCAAGCTAACTGGCTAACGTTGGCTAACTACTTCCAGACACAAATGAGAGAACACCTCACTCTGACCATTTTACTCGACCTAGCAGAGCTGGTAAGGCTGTTTTCATGTTATCCAGAGCGTTGGTGACTGTAACTGTGCTGCTGGCAACAATTTAACGTTTTTTTGCCGACGTTTACTGCCACCGGCCATATTCAACGGGTGTTGAGCGTTCGTAAATTCATCAGTTATTCTGCGCTCTGGCATACTCAGACGAGAGTGCTCTGAAATCGGAGAAGATAGCCAGAGTGAATTTACCATTCTTGCTCATTCTCTGAGCCAATGACTGTATTTTACACGTGAAGCTCTGAGCACGTGGTTGGAGTTACTATGGTAACAACATCAAGTAGCTAGTGTTTATGTATCCTCTACTACCTACTAGCTAGCAATCCTGCCTCCTATCTACAATGGCTGAAATGTCTGCTATGAATAGAAAATTGATTCAGAATCTCGCTGAAACTCTTTCTAAACAAGTCAAACACTGTAAGTATGAGTTTTGATAGCTAGTTGGCAGAGATAGTCTACGTTGTGTCCTGACTAACGTTAGTTAGCTACAGTAACGTTTAGCTGAACTTCTTAAAAGAAAAGCTAGCTAGCCAACTACATAGTTTCTACTTCTCAGCATTTAGCTAGCTACAGTAGCTATATAGCTAATAACAAAACGTGTAAACGAAATAAAAGTTAATAGCTAGCTGTTGTTGTCTAGCTCCTCCAACCAAAACTCGCCTTTCATTGAACGTGTTGGCAGCACTACTTATGTGACAGATGGGGGGCGCTATAACCTTGCGTTGTTGAGATCATGTCAAAGTATGTCCTGTGTTCTTTTCTCCTGCTGTGCAGATTAATGCAAATTAATAAAAACATATCAGTCTATGTAAATTGGAATTATGCATATGGCAGCAGTACTAACACTATTTTTGGCTGTAGTTAACAAAACAGAAGCGGAGTGTCTGATCCGACTATTCAATGGACTCCTGGGGGATCAGAGTGACAGGAGGGTAGGGAATGGTCTGGACAGAGGGAAATTCAGGAATATTTTGCACAACACCTTTGGAATGACTGATGATATGATCATGGATAGAGGTAGGCGTGTCTCCTTTGTCACATGAAACAGAATGTAACCATCAAATAAAGTATGATACTGATGTGGCAAGTTACCACAAAAAAATTGGTATTATATTCCAGTCTTTCGCGCATTTGACAAGGACAACGACAGCTACGTCAGTGTGAAAGAGTGGATTGAGGGACTGTCAGTCTTTCTCCGTGGGACATTGGAGGAAAAAATTAAGTGTAAGAAAGATAAAAAGTGTATAATATGTAGGCTTTTTGACCGTTATCTACTATATTACTATCCATGTATTGACTCTGTCCCCCATTTGGTTTTTAGACAGCTTTGATGTGTATGACTTGAATGGAGATGGGTACATTTCCCGGGAAGAGATGTTCCACATGCTGAAGAACAGCCTGATCAGACAGCCCACAGAGGAGGACCCAGACGAGGGCATCAAAGACCTGGTGGAGATCACACTCAAGAAGATGGTAATGACATTTTTATCTTCATTTTAGCCAGGTTAAACCAGACTGAATGCTGTGCTACCTATTGTTTAACCTGCCAGGCTAACTTCATTGTACCTTGTGTTTACAATCACTGTTTAACTTGGTCACAATTGACCAATTCATGTTTCAGATTAAATAGACTGTCTGAACATAAAATAGCAATGAGTTGTTTCCATCCTCAGGACCATGACCATGACAGCAGACTGTCCTATGCAGACTTTGAAAAGGCAGTGAGAGATGAGAATCTATTGCTTGAGGCTTTTGGAACCTGCCTTCCCGATGCCAAGGTGACCATTGAAGTCAAGACTGTAAACACAGTGTGTCTGGATTGGACAATATTTTGCCTTTGTCTGACATGTTTTTTCCTTTTGTGTTACAGACCATATTGGCATTTGAGCAGCATGCATTCCAGGATCCACTTGAGCGTTAAGGACATCACTAAATTTTATTAACAAAAAACTGCTCATACACTGATGGGAAATGTATAAATAAAACATGTTGAGAAAATATGAAGTTCCGTTTGAATTATGTAAATATAAGAACTTGCTAATGTCCACCTCATTCCCTGTGAGAAGCAGTCTTTCAGGACATGTCTGTTAGATTCTCCTCCGAGGCTTTGCTGACTTTGTCTTTGTTGGCTTGACTTCAGGAACTGATGCAACCTGAGAACAAGGAAAGACATGAATTTACTGTAGTGTAGTATCACTCTTCAATTGTATGAAATTGTGAGTGACCAATTTTAAGAAGCAAATGACCACGAATATACTTTTTTCAATGTATTTCTGATCATGTTGGCTGTTGTGTTCAACGACTCGTCCGCCATATCCATTTTAGGCCGCTCTGGTAGTTTTGGTCCAATGAGGGTTTCATTTTTGTCCACGAAGCCAAAAAGTGAGTCTTTATTAGTTTCTACCATTTTCCGTTTTCTGTTCTCCAAATCTGTGGTCCTCGGTACGAATCTTGGGGGTGCTGCAGGGGGTGGATTTTTACTCAGTCTTTTCACTATTCCTCGGTCTCCCCCAGAAGAGGAGGGAACGCTGCTTACAATGGGTGCCAGCTGCTGTTTAGTATCTATGGCATTATGCAATGACCCCATTTTGTCCTCGGTTGGAATAGTCCTGCATTGGTTTGCCTGATAACTATAAGACAGATCATTAGATGGGGCATGTCTGTAAGGAGGAAACTCCTGTGGGGGTAAAGGCAATAAGGGAAATCCTAAATAATGGCCATGGCTGGTACTCGAAGTCTCTCCCTTGTTGCTGGTATCACTGGATCTCTGATTATCACCTGAGGAAGTCCTGGCTGTGGTAGCAACTGTATCTGACGACATGGGGTTTTTGCTCTTTTCATCCTCCTGGTCCTGTTCCTTTGCTTCTCAACCAAAAAGGAAGAATCATATGTCAACTAACTACATCATAATAATCATGCTTATGTTGTGAATGACATACCAGAGATAGTACTGATAATATTCTCCCAGCACAGCACAACATCTGTACCTTTATTTTGAGTCGTCCTGTTCACATATCGTCTCCTGTCTTGCAGCTTCAGTCTGGTGTCCTCCACTGTCTCATACTCAGGGGCATAGCACACATGTAGTAAACCTCCAAAGAAACTCTTCTCATCCATATGCCGTTTGGCCGCCCTGAAACACAATTACTTTAAAGTATAACTGGCTGAGTGAGGTGGTCTACCAGCTTGTGTGGGACTAGGCTAGATAAAACTAGGGCCTGAAGTTTTTCCTGATCAGGTTACATGATGGTCAGGGAAAACACCTCTCCCTATCCATCTCATCATAACCTATAAAACCTGTCCTAACCTTGCACTGGTGAGTTTCTGGAACTTGATGAGGTAGACCTCTGTGAATTCCTCTGCAGGGTACTCATCCAGCACCCTGTACTCCTCCACAGCCCCGTACAGCGCAGAGAGCTGGATCAGTTCTGTCATCACCCCGATGGCTGGGACTCCTTGCACCATCAGGTAACGAGACTCCAAGTTGATGGTGTACACCTACAGGGGTAATATAGCACGGATAATACATTAGATTTCTAGCTAGCTAGCTCACTTGGTCAAGTATTGAGCATGGATACATAATTTCGCTGTAGGAAATGATTTTCATACCTTAACTGCTTTAGGTCTCCTCCCTTCTCTATACTTCGGTCGTGAGGGGCAAATCTTTTGCTGCTCATGATGTTTATAAACCTCTGGAGTGCTCCAACATGAGCTGTTTCCGAACGCTGCCATGTTTGCAAATTACAACAAAACCGGAAGTAGTTTCCCAGACGACAATAATCGGATCTGAGCTCATCGACGTAAAACAAAAAAAGCAGATCAGCTACTTTTGCCTGCCAGACATAGCACCGAATGCATCGATCCCATGCAAGTCGCTTAGCTAGCTAGCTACTAACAGTATAGTTCCATGATCTGAAAAGGGGAATTTTGATCATATTGCAAACATATTTAGTTATGTTGGGCAATCATGGCATCCAACCTGTCACTCTGGTTTTCAACAACACGAAAAACTGTTTTCTTCACCTTCCTTCAAACTTGTTAAAACAGCTCTCTCTTCGTGACGTAAGCTATAAACTAACGTTAGCTAGCTAGCTAGCTAACAGCTAGTTAGTGTCGTTGTCTTTTTAGTTGTGTCAAGTAATAACTATGCAAAACTATCAGCAAACTACCGGTAGCTAACTTGTACTTGAAACCAATACATGCCATTTCTTCTGATCTGATCTGTAGCATGCCATTTCCCCCACGTTTTTTCATGCAATTTGCTATCTTCTGTGTTATAAAGAACCAGGCCCTGGAGCTGTCCTGGGGTCATGATGCCCGTGTGTTCCTCAGCTGGACCAGAAGCAGAAGCCCTGCCAACCAGGAGGACCATAAAGTAGCACTGAGCAGGCAACTGGGAGAGAAACTTGGACTCAGAGATGGAGAGCAGGTAATGATGTCCCATTCACTAATTACCTTATTGCCCATTCCCCAAACTCATCATGCCTTTATAACCCCACTTTTCCTGATTGCTAACTCATGTTGCATGGTTTCAGGGCTTCTTGCGGTCGTGCCAGCAGGTCCTGTCTGTACAGCAGGTGTTTGTGGAGCCACTCTCCTCTGACGACTGGGAAATCCTGGTGAGTACCTATAGAGAGGTCTTTGTACAGTATTGTGCAGTAGGCAAGCTCACCCATCAGAAACAATTAGTACCATATGGTTTTAGTATAGCCTGGGAGTGCTGCCTGTGGGTTTCTTCTTCATTCAACTCCTTTGTCATTGTCATGCAACAGACAGCTACCCAGGCTAGTTTTGATCATTTGCTGTCAGAACAAATTCAACATTGCCGAGCGACTGTCAATATGGTTAGTAAATGTACAGTCTGGAAGGGGCAAACATTTAACCATGTCTTGTCCTCAGGAGCTCCACAGTGCAGTGCTGGAGCAGCAGCTCCTGGATCAGATCAGAGTGGTGTTTCCGGATGCAGTGTTTCCTGTGTGGGTGGACCAGAGAACAGTCATCTACATCAAAATCGGTCAGCGCTGATTTTCACTTTTTACATTTTCTCAACTTCTACCAGCTATGAACTCACCAGCTACTATGTTATGACCAAAGAAACAGTTGATCAGATGAGGCTGGTTGGAAGAGCTATAGGAGGACAAGCTCATTGTAATGTCTGGAATGGAATATATGGAACAGTATCAAACATATGTAAACCACGTTTGACTCCGTTCCATTTACTCCATTCAGGCCATTACAATGAGTCCGTCCTCCTATAGCTCCTCCCACCAGCCTCGTCTGCAGTTGATGTAATACTGTCCTTCATACCCTTCTTCTGCAGCTTCACTCACCCCAACTGTACCGTACGGTCGATTAGAGCAGTTCACAGAGCTGCACGTCTCTCCTAAAATCCGTGCTGGAAGTGAAGACCCCTCCAGCTCTCCTTTCGGATTATCCAATCAGAACCAGCCCTTCCACAGGCAGCCAAACCACTCACACTCCTCCAGGTCCTCTCAGGAGAGCAGCGTTCAGGAGACTGGACTTCCTGTAGAACAATGTCCCAATGCTGCTGCCCTCCAGAGCCCCCAGCAGTGGGACTGGATAGCAGACCTAAAGAGCCTGGTCAGGTACATGCTAACAGGGAACTATGACCCTGTGAGAGAGACTCCCCCCATCCCCCCCATCCCTGCCCTCCTCAGTGACTCAGTGTTCAGAGTGTGCAGAGCACCGCCCGTGTCTCCTGGCCCTCTGAGTGCCACCCATGGGGTTGTCCACATCATGTCCTGGGGCCAGCAGATGGGAGGTAATATCAATGGAGGCCAGCCAGCTGTGACGTACGGCCTACTGTCCAAGGTGCTCTCTCCCAAGGAGGTGAGAGAGAGGGCTAAGCAGGCCATGGAAAAGAAGAAGAGCGGCGGTGCTGTTGGTGCTCCCCAGCCTGGTGGTGCAGGGGACAGGGAGGAAAAAGAGGATGCCACTGTAGTCAAGGTGGTGTGTCACCATACAGAGGGGCTGAAAGGGAAGCAGGGATCATCTAGAGAGGGAGAGCTCCACAGTGGAAGGGTCTGGGTGAGTACATGTACTTAAGCCATGGTCTAAACTCAAGTTAGGCACAATGTAGGCCTAATCAAATTACCTATTCTCAATCATTCTACCCATGGTTGTTTACAGGTTTGTCTGCCCAAACGTATTTATATTGAGGCTCATATGTATTCATGCCTCATACAGTTATTGTTTTTCTCAGATCCCACAATCCCTGGAAACTAGTCTTAATATCAACCCACACTCATCAGTGAGAATCAAGCCAATCAAGTCAACTCCTAAAGTAGCCACCAGTATCCACCTGCAGCCTTTACAACCACTGGTGAGTAACATTTATTTTTACATTATGTTATATCTCCAGAGCTTCGACATATTGGTACATTTGGTATACGTTATTCTATGGATTCTACTGTTCTGTTCAGCCTAATCTTGTACTTTCTGTGTTGCTGTTTGACCCCTGCCCTGATGTCCTCCTAGCCTGCAGCAGAGAGTGAGGTGGAGATTCAGACTGCCTTCCTGGGTTGGCTGCACACCCAGAGCCACGAACCACTAGCCTGTCTGACCGGCCGCTCCAACACCATCCTCTTACCTGCCACTGAAGGTATACATAGGCTGCATCACAAATGGCACCCTGTTCCCTTTATAGTGCACTATAAAAATCAAATCCAAGTTTATTGGTCACGTACACACTTTAGAAGATTTTATAGCGACAGCAGTGCAATTTTTGTGTTACTAGCTCCTAACAGTGCAGTAAAATGTCAAACAAGTACAGTGCCTTCAGAAAGTATTCACACCCCTTGACTTTTTCCACAATTTGTAGTGTTATAGTATGAATTTAAGTGATTTAATTGAGATTTTGTGTCACTGATCTACACACAATACCCCATAATGTCAAAGTGGAATTTCGTTTGTAGAACTTTTTTAAATTAAAAGCTGAAATGTCTTGGGAGAATAAGTATTCAACCCCTTTGTTATGGCAAGCCTAAATAAGTTCAGTAGTAAATATGTGCTTAACAAGTCACATAATAAGTTGCATGGACTCATTCTGTGTTCAAAAATAGTAGTTAACATGATTTTTGAATGACTACCCCATCTCTGTACCTCACACATACAATTATCTGTAAGGTCCCTTAATCGAGTAGTGAATTTCAAGCATAGAAGACCAGGGAGGTTTTTCAATGCCTCGCAAAGAAGGGCACCGCTTGGTAGATGGGTAAAAATATATCCCTTTGAGCATGGTGAAGTTATTAATTAGGCTTTGGATGGTGTATCACTACAAAGATACAGGCGGCCTTCCTAACTCAGTTGCCGGAGAGGAAGGAAACTGCTCAGGGATTTCACCATGAGGCCAATGGTGATTTTAAAACGGTTACACAGTTTAATGGTTGTGATATGAGAACTAAGGATGGATCAACAACATTAGGTTAGTATTATGGAGTAACTACAAATCACAGAATGAAAAAAAGGAAGCCTGTACAGAATAAAAATATTACATTTACATTTACATTTTAGTCATTTAGCAGACGCTCTTATCCAGAGCGACTTACAGTTATCAAAAACATGCATCCTGTTTCAATCAAGGCACTTCAGTAATACTGCAAAAAATGTGGCAAAGAAATTAACTTTTTGTCCTGAATACAAAGCGTTATGTTTGGGGCAAATTCAACACAGAGTCCCACTCTTCATATTTTCAAGCATGGTCGTGGCTGCATCATGTTATGGGTATGCTTGCCATCGGCAAGGACTAGGGAGTTTTGTAGGATAAAAAGAAACTGAATACAGCTACAGTGAGGGAAAAAAGTATTTGATCCCCTGCTGATTTTGTACGTTTGCCCACTGACAAAGACATGATCAGTCTATAAGTTTTTATGGTAGGTTTATTTGAACAGTGAGAGACAGAATAACAACAAAGAAAACCAGAAAAATGCATGTCAAAAATGTTAGAAATTGATTTGCATTTTAATGAAGTATTTGACCCCTCTGCAAAACATGATTTAGTACTTGGTGGCAAAACCCTTCACAGAGGTCAGATGTTTCTTGTAGTTGGCCACCAGGTTTGCACACATCTCAGGAGGGATTTTGTCCCACTCCTCTTTGCAGATCTTCTCCAAGTCATTAAGGTTTCAAGGCTGACGTTTGGCAACTCGAACCTTCAGCTCCCTCCACAGATTTTCTGTGGGATTAACGTCTGGAGACTGGCTAGGCCACTCCAGGACCTTAATGTGCTTCTTCTTGAGCCACTCCTTTGTTGCCTTGGCCGTGTGTTTTGGGTCATTGTCATGCTGGAATACCCATCCACGACCCATTTTCAATGCCCTGGCTGAGGAAGGAGGTACATGGCGCCGTCCATCGTCCCTTTGATGCGGTGAAGTTGTCCTGTCCCCTTAGCAGAAAAACACCCCCAAAGCATAATGTTTCCACCTCCATGTTTGACGGTGGGGATGGTGTTCTTGGGATCATAGGCAGCATTCCTCCTCCTCCAAACACGGCGAGTTGAGTTGATGCCAAGGAGCTCGATTTTGGTCTCATCTGTTCTCCTCTGAATCATTCAGATGTTCATTGGCAAACTTCAGACGGCCCTGTATATGTGCTTTCTTGAGCAGGGGGACCTTGCGGGCGCTGCAGGATTTCAGTCCTTCACGGCGTAGTGTGTTACCAATTGTTTTCTTGGTGACTATGGTCCCAGCTGCCTTGAGATCATTGACAAGATCCTCCCGTGTAGTTCTGGACTGATTCCTCACCGTTCTCATGATCATTACCCCAGGCCGAGGGAGATTGACAGTTATTTTGTGTTTCTTCCATTTGCGAATAATCGCACTAACTGTTGTCACCTTCTCACCAAGCTGCTTGGCGATGGTCTTGTAGCCCATTCCAGCCTTGTGTAGGTCTACAATCTTGTCCCTGACATCCTTGGAGTGCTCTTTGGTCTTGGCCATGGTGGAAAGTTTGGAATCTGATTGATTGATTGCTTCTGTGGACAGGTGTCTTTTATACAGGTAACAAGCTGAGATTAGGAGCACTCCCTTTAAGAGTGTGCTCCTAATCTCAGCTCTTTACCTGTATAAAAGACACATGGGAGCCAGAAATCTTTCTGATTGAGAGGGGTCAAATACTTATTTCCCTCATTAAAATGCAAATCAATTTATAACATTTTTGACATGCGTTTTTCTGGATTTTGTTGTTGTTATTCTGTCTCTCACTGTTCAAATAAACCTACCATTAAAATGATAGACTGATCATGACTTTGTCAGTGGGCAAACGTACAAAATCAGCAGAGGATCAAATATTTTTTTCCCTCACTGTATAAGCACACGCAAAATCCTAGAGGAAAACTTGGTTCAGTCTGCTTTTCAACAGACACGTGGAGACAAATTCACCTTTCATCAGGACAATAACCTAAAACACAAGGCCAAATCTACACTGGAGTTGCTTACCACGACAACATTGAATGTTCCTAAGTGGCGTAGTTAAAGTTTTGACTTAAATCGGCTTGAAAATCTACGCAAGACTTGAAAATGGCTGTCTAGCAATGATCATCAATCAACTTGACAGAGCTTGAAGAATTTTAAAGAATAATGGGCAAATATTGTACAATCCAGGTGTGCAAAGCTCTTAGAGACTTACCCAAAAAGACTCACAGCTGTAATAGCCGCGAAAGGAGCTTCTACAAAGTATTGACTCAGGGATGTGAATACTTATGTAAATTAGATTTCTGTATTTCATTCTCAATATATTTCTAAAACATGTTTTCACTATCAAGGGGTATGAATACTTTCTGAAGGCATTGGGAATATAGGGTAAAGGGTGCCATTGGGGATGCTGCCATAAAGTCACTCTCTGTGATTGTTGGCAGCAGGTTATTCAATCTCACCCAAAGTGTATGGAGTGCATTGTAAATGTAATACAATCTTGATCTTCCTTCAGGCAAGGTGGAGTTTGCCATGACTGTGTTGACGTCGGAACCTGAGTCGGAGAGTAAAGCGCCTGACCAGTTGTTTCTGTTGGCTCCAAGTGTGATACAGAAAACAGACATACAGGTACTAGTGACACGTTTTGCTAACTCAGACTTCATACACTGAGTGTACAAAACATGAAGAATACCTTCCTAATATTGAGTTGTCCACCCACCCCCACACCCCTTTGCCATCAGAACAGCCTCAATTAGTCAGGGCATGGATGCTACAAGGTGTCCAAAGCGCTCCACAGGGATGCTAGCCCATGTTAACTCCAATGCTTCCCACAGTTGTGTCAAATTGGCTGGATGTCCTTTGGGTAGTGGAACATTCTTGATACACACAGGAAACTGTTGAGCATGAAAAATCCAGCAGCGTTGCAGTTCTTGACACAGACCGGTGCGCCTGGCACCTACTACCATACCCCGTTCAAAGGCACATAAATCTTTTGTATGTGTGCCCTCTGAATGGCACACATACACAAACCATGTCTCAAGGCATACAAATCTTTCTTTAACCTGTCTTCTCCCCTTCATCTACACTGATTGAAGTGGATTTAACAAGTGACATCAATAAGGGATCATAGCTTTCACCTGGATTCACCGGGTCAGTCTTTCATGAAAAGAGCAGGTGTTCTTAATGTTTTGTACACAAAGTTTTTATGTACATTCATATCAACGCATTAACGTCCATGACTGACCCTCTTCTCATGATGTCTAGGTTGTTAGGGAACCTGTAACCGTGCCTACTGTGAAAGCCATGGGTAGTACCCTTAATCAAGATCTACCCTCTCTCAGCAGTCTTGGGTAAGCCATCAGATTCATTACAGAACACACCGTAACCTGTTGAAGTGATAGCTGTGTGAACCAAATGGATATTCTATTAAACATCTCACAAACTGTCTAGAATGAATGTTTTTGGTTGATTAATGGTAGTTAGTTGACATGTTAAACACCTATCCAGGCATTAGGAGATCTGGCATGCATCTGCAATGTAGTCAGCCTGGAACGCGGCCAAAGTGTACCACTGCCCTGCCTCTGCCATGATGTGACCTGTGTTCTCCTCTTGTGCTGTCCCCAGTGGTGTGGAGGAGCTAAGCAGCACAGGGTTTGACTTCGTCTCCCACAGCCTGATGGTACGGCCTCTCTCCTGGGAGCTGGTGTCCACCGGCCGGGGCCTCCGGGGCGGGGCCCTGCTCATCACAGGGGCCAAGGTAACCTCTAACCTCATCAAGTAATCCGGTCAATCGTTCCCAGAAATCAGCAGGACTGATTCTGACATGAATGTCCAAGTCAGATCACATTGAGTTAAAACAGTTTTATCTTGATATGAAGGGCTAATATGTAGGTTAAAACAGATACCACTGCCAGCTATAGTGACGCACTCAATCGGATCGTGGACTGTGAGCATTGGTTACTGTCCGGTGTGTGTTTTGTATTCCCTCACAGGGAAGTGGGAAGACTGCTCTTTCCAGAGCTCTGTGTAGAAAAACTATGGAGGACCTGGATGCTCATGTGGAGGTGGTTGACTGCAAAAAGCTGAAAGGTGGGAGTTGGACCTTTCACTTATTGTTTCTGTGGTGACTTGTTTATTTTTGACCATGATGATACAATGTTGTATAATGTTCTGCAGGGAAGAGAGCAGAGACAGTGAGGCAGATGTTGGAGGAGGTTTTTGAACAGGCGGTGTGGAGACAGCCCTCTGTGGTCCTGCTGGATGACCTGGATCATGTGACGGGGGCGCCGACCTCACCGGAACATGAACACGGACCAGAGGCTCTCCTAAGGCTGCACATTGCCCAGAGTATGATACTACACAACTCTGTGTGTGTCCATATCCGCGTACGCGTCCGTGTGTGTTTCTTGTTCATAGACATGTCTAATATCTGTGTGTCGTGACCCCTCCCTGTGTGTTGTCCAGGTCTAAGGGCCATTGTAGATGACGTGGTGGTGCGCTCCAGCCTTGTCTCTCTGGTCATCAGCAGTCACAGTGAACACTCCCTCCACCCGTCACTCAGGGAGGTGCAGGGCTCCCACTTCCTCCAGGGCTTCATACACATCCAGCCTCCTGATCAGGTAACTGGGGTAGGGTCAAGTTGCCCCTCGGCACTGATCTTGGGTCAGTTTCAGCATTTCTCCCACTAATGGTTCAGGTTAGAATTGGGGGAGAAGAAGCTGATCCTAGATCTGAGAACCACATCCATTTATCCAGTCTGACTTTGCGCTGGTTGCCAATGCTCTGAAATATCAATTTTGTCTTACCAGCAAAGTAGCAAGAAGTAACTGTATGAATATTTATTGGACTTGATAGTGTCTTTGTTGCTACATGTAGCTTTCTTTCTATCTTTCTTTATAATAATGTGTATTACATAGTTATCTGTCTGTTTGTGACTGTGGAATATTTTGTACAAAGGCATCATCTTCACCTTTGTGATAATAATTATGCCAGACAGTTAATGTGGGACTACTGTAAGCATAGTATTTTTTAATCTTTAACTCTGCATTGTTGGAAAAGGACCCGTAAGGAAGCATTTCTCTGTTAGTCTACACCTTTGTTCACGAAGAATGGGACAAATAACATTTAATTAGATTTGATCTGTATTGTGACTGTGTTGTCTGTCTGTCAGGCCCAGAGAGGAGAGATACTGCGCTGTCTGATCCTCAGTAAGACTGCTGTATCCAAGGAGACCCTACACACGCTCGACCTGGGGGACATTGCCAAGGAGACAGAGGGCTACCTGCCCCGTGACCTGGCCCTGCTGCTAGAGAGAGCCATCCATGCCAACGCCCTACACAGGGCACGCAGCACCCAGGGTTAGTACCCTATCTATCCCACTCCACCAAAAAAACATCCTACTAGCTTTTGGCCCATATATAAAATAATGTTCTATCTCTATGTTTGTGGCATCCTTGCAGATTCCTAAAAATGACCTGGAATTAGTAAACAAATTAGTAAATGAAGGCTATAGATATTTCAGTCACACCAAGACCATAACACACATCTCCCAACTTCAATCACAAACCACTAAGACAAAAATAACATCACATGATTATCACATGGCTATCACATGATTATCACATGGCTATCACATGATTATCACATGGTTATGACATGCAATGACTACAGTAATAGAGTAGTGTACTTGGTTGTCCATTGAAATGAGAATCAGTCCATATGCTGTCTATATTGTGACATTGTATACTCTGTCTGTGTCCTCTCCTCGTCCCAGGGGTGTGTCTGTCGTGGAGGGATTTTGTGCAGGCTCTGAAGGGCTTCACCCCTCCCTCTCTGTGGGGGGCTCAGCTGCAGAGCCCCAGCGGTGCAGGCCTTGAGAGGGTAGGGGGGCTGCATCACGTACGCCAGCTACTCATGGACACCATCCTGCTACCGGCCAAGGTGAATCTCACTAGCCAGGTCCCAGATCTGTTTGTGCTGTCTTGCCAACTCCTATGGTGAGCGTGACAATGACCTGGGACCAGGTCAGCACAAATCTCACAGGTAGAGAGACAAGGAAGACTATCTGAAAAACCAGGTCGTTATTGTACCAGATAAATGGTTCTCAATGACTTACCCAGGTTATACAGTACAGGTTGGATTCATAAATAAATTGGTGCTGCTGTAGAACTTTGTCTGAGTTTTGGTGGAGCTGTTCTTCTATAGAAGCTGATATGAGGTACTCGGTTTGTTATTGGATAGTCACCCATCTCCCACTCATGTCAGTCTTCTCTGTACGTTCCAGTATCCGGTGCTCTTCTCCAGCCTTCCCATCCGGCAGCGCTCAGGACTTCTGCTGTACGGCGCTCCAGGCACTGGGAAAACCCTGCTGGCTGGTGCCGTGGCCAAGGAGAGCGGGATGAACTTCATCAGTATCAAGGTGGGTTTGAAATGTACCAGGGCCTGTCTCAAATCACACACTATCCCTATATAGTGCATTACTTTTGATCAGGGAACATAGGGGTCTGGTCAAAAGTAGTGCACTATGTAGGAAATAGGGTACCATTTGGGTTTCTGTATAAGCACTTTGTGACATCTGCTGATATAAAAAGGGCTTTATAAATACATTTGATTGATTGAAGTAAGTGTTAACACTGGGAACTTGTTATTGTTGCATGGTCTCGTATGAGTGTTTTTAAAAACTGTTTTCAGGGTCCTGAACTCCTCAGCAAGTACATTGGAGCCAGTGAGCAGGCTGTCAGAGATGTCTTTCACAGGTGTGTGCACTCTGCTACACAACACTGTAACCATGGCTACAAACTGCTGGTGTTGTGTTAACCCATGCCTCCGTGTGTGTTTCTGTTTCTCTGCAGAGCCCAGGCTGCTAAACCCTGCATCCTGTTCTTTGATGAGTTTGACTCCTTGGCCCCCAGGAGGGGTCACGACAACACAGGGGTCACTGACCGGGTGGTCAACCAGCTACTGACCCAACTGGATGGGGTGGAAGGACTACAGGGTACGGAGAGAAAAGGGGGGGGGGGGGGGCACCTAGAACAGACACTGCTGTCATACAGTGAGGGAAAAAAGTATTTGATCCCCTGCTGATTTTGTACGTTTGCCCACTGACAAAGACATGATCAGTCTATAATTTTTATGGTAGGTTTATTTGAACAGTGAGAGACAGAATAACAACAAAAAAATCCAGAAAAACGCATGTCAAAAATGTTATAAATTGATTTGCATTTTAATGAGGGAAATAAGTATTTGACCCCTCTGCAAAACATGACTTAGTACTTGGTGGCAAAACGCTTGTTGGCAATCACAGAGGTCAGACGTTTCTTGTAGTTGGCCACCAGGTTTGCACACATCTCAGGAGGGATTTTGTTCCACTCCTCTTTGCAGATCTTCTCCAAGTCATTAAGGTTTCGAGGCTGACGTTTGGCAACTCGAACCTTCAGCTCCCTCCACAGATTTTCTATGGGATTAAGGTCTGGAGACTGGCTAGGCCACTCCAGGACCTTAATGTGCTTCTTCTTGAGCCACTCCTTTGTTTTGGGTCATTGTCATGCTGGAATACCCATCCACGACCCATTTTCAATGCCCTGGCTGAGGGAAGGAGGTTCTTACCCAAGATTTGACGGTACATGGCCCCGTCCATCGTCCCTTTGATGCGGTGAAGTTGTCCTGTCCCCTTAGCAGAAAAACACCCCCAAAGCATAATGTTTCAACCTCCATGTTTGATGGTGGGGATGGTGTTATTGGGGTCATAGGCAGCATTCCTCCTCCTCCAAACACGGCGAGTTGAGTTGATGCCAAAGAGCTCGATTTTGGTCTCATCTGACCACAACACTTTCATCCAGTTCTCCTCTGAATCACTCTGTTCATTGGCAAACTTCAGACGGGCCTGTATATGTGCTTTCTTGAGCAGGGGGACCTTGCGGGCGCTGCAGGATTTCAGTCCTTCACGGCGTAGTGTGTTACCAATTGTTTTCTTGGTGACTATGGTCCCAGCTGCCTTGAGATCATTGACAAGATCCTCCCGTGTAGTTCTGGGCTGATTCCTCACCGTTCTCATGATCATTGCAACTCCACGAGGTGAGATCTTGCATGGAGCCCCAGGCAGAGGGAGATTGACAGTTATTTTGTGTTTCTTCCATTTGCGAATAATCGCACCAACTGTTGTCACCTTCTCACCAAGCTGCCTGGCGATGGTCTTGTAGCCCATTCCAGCCTTGTGTAGGTCTACAATATTGTCCTTGATATCCTTGGAGAGCTCTTTGGTCTTGGCCATGGTGGAGAGTTTGGAATCTGATTGATTGATTGCTTCTGTGGACAGGTGTCTTTTATACAGATAACAAGCTGAGATTAGGAGCACTCACTTTAAGAGTGTGCTCCTAATCTCAGCTCGTTACCTGTATAAAAGACACCTGGGAGCCAGAAATCTTTCTGATTGAGAGGGGGTCAAATACTTATTTCCCTCATTAAAATGCAAATCAATTTATAACATTTTTGACATGCGTTTTTCTGGATTTTTTTGTTATTCTGTCTCTCACTGTTCAAATAAACCTACCATTAAAATTATAGACTGATCATTTCTTTGTCAGTGGGCAAATTTACAAAATCAGCAGGGGATCAAATACTTTTTTCCCTCACTGTATGTTTAACATACATTTCATTAGGCTTTGCTTAGTCGGCTTGATTTAGTTTTATGATATACTTTCATTTTTTTTATATTTAGACAAATGAACAACAGTACAGTCATTTTACCAGCACTATCATTTTAGTGAGTAAGATTCCTTTTGCTAAGCGGATTGCTTGTCTTATGTTTCCCTCTCTTTCTGTGTGTGTGTGCGTGTATGCGCGCACGTCCAGGTGTGTATGTCCTGGCTGCCACTAGTCGTCCAGACCTGATAGACCCTGCCCTGCTGAGGCCTGGCCGCCTGGACAAGTCCCTCTACTGTCCCCCTCCTGACCAGGTCTGGACCACATTCAGTCCTATATAGTCTCTACTGCCCCCCTCCTGACCAGGTCTGGACCACACTCAGTCCTATATAGTCTCTACTGTCCCCCTCCTGACCAGGTCTGGACCACACTCAGTCCTATATAGTCTCTACTGTCCCCCTCCTGACCAGGTCTGGACCACACTCAGTCCTATATAGTCTCTACTGTCCCCCTCCTGACCAGGTCTGGACCACACTCAGTCCTATATAGTCTCTACTGTCCCCCTCCTGACCAGGTCTGGACCACACTCAGTCCTATATAGTCTCTACTGCCCCGCTCCTGACCAGGTCTGGACCACAGTCAGTCCTATATAGTCTCTACTGCCCCCCTCCTGACCAGGTCTGGACCACACTCAGTCCTATATAGGGCCAATAAGGCTCTTGTCAAAACGAGTGCAATATGTTGGGAATAGGGTGTCATTTGGGACGCAACCTTTTTAATGATTGTGATGGAGGAAACCAGTTCATCTTAGTATGAAAATGAGTGATAATTTGACACCCTGTGACCTATCTCATTGTTCCAGTGTTTCTCAGAGGTCAAAAGAATATAAAGTCCAGGGCTGTTCTAGCTATGTTATATATATATATATATAACCCAATGGTCCTGTGTCCCTCCCAGGAGGCGCGTGTAGAGATCCTAAGGGCTCTAAGCCACTCGGTTCCCCTGGCTGACGATGTGGACCTGGAGCAGATGGCCGGGGCCACAGACACGTTCACTGGCGCTGACCTGAAGGCCCTGCTGTACAACGCCCAGCTAGAGGCCATCCACAGCAGCCTGGGGCCCAGCCTGCTGCATGTAAGTCATCCTACCGCCAGGGGGCGCTGTGGGTCTGATGGTAGAGATACACTACAGCAATGTATGATATTCAGTCACCTATTGGGTCTAATACCATAGCTTCAGTAGAGGGGACTATGGGTTTAATAGTAGAACTACATGGATTTATATGTCATTAACAGGGTAATAGTTTTAATGAATGGTAGAGCTAAATGGATCTTTAAAAGTAACCAACCGAAAAATCTGCTGGGCTCCCTGTGAAGGACCAATAATCTTATAAGGTTTCTGGCAGCAGAGGCTGATGGGAAGAGCTATAGGAGGACGGGCTCATTGTAATGGCTGGAATGGAATTAATGGGATGGAGTCAAACGTGGTTTCCATATGTTTGATACCGTTCCATTAATTCAATTCCAGCCATTACAATGAGCCCGTACTCCTATACAGTGCATTCAGAAAGTATTCAGACCTCTTGACTTTTTCCACATTTTGTTACGTTACAGCCTTATTCTAAAATTGATTAAATAAACATTTTTCCTGATCAATCTACACACAATACCCCATAATGACAAATCGAAAACAGGTTTAGACATTTTTGCAAATTTATAAAAATAAAGAAACGTATACCTTTTTACATAAGTATTCAGACCCTTTGATATCAGACTCGAAATTGAGCTTAGGTACATCCTGTTTCCATTGATCATCCTTGAGATGTTTCTACAACTTGATTGGATACCACCTGTGGTAAATTCAATTGATTGGACATGATTTGGAAAGGCACACATCTGTCTACACTACCGGTCAAAAGTTTTAGAACACCTACTCATTCAAGGGTTTTTCTGTATTTTTACTATTTTCTACATTGTAGATTAATAGTGAAGACATCAAAACTATGAAATAACACATATGGAATCATGTAGTAACCAAAAAGAGTGTTAAACAAATCAAAATATATTTTATATTTGAGATTCTTCAAATAGCCACCCTTTGCCTTGATGACAGCTTTGCACACTCTTGGCATTCTCTCAACCAGCTTCATGAGGTAGTCACCTGGAATCCATTTCAATTAACAGGTGTGGCTTCTTAAAAGTTAATGTGTGGAATTTATTTCCTTCTTAATGCGTTTGAGCCAATCAGTTTTGTTGTGACAAGGTAGGGGGGTATACAGAAGATAGCCCTATTTCGTAAAAGACCAAGTCCATATTATGGAAAGAACAGCTCAAATAAGCAAAGAGAAACGACAGTCCATCATTACTTTAAGAACTTTGAACGTTTCTTCAAGTGCAGTCGCAAAAACCATCAAGCGCTATGATGAAACTGGCTCTCATGAGGACCGCCACAGAAATGGAAGACCCAGAGTTACCTCTGCTGCAAAGGATACGTTCATTAGAGTTGCCAGCCTCAGAAATTGCAGCCCAAATAAATGCTTTACGGAGTTTAGGTAACAGACACATCTCAACATCAACTGTTCAGAGGAGACTGTGTGAATCAGGCCTTCATGGTCAAATTTCTGCAAAGAAACCACTACTAAAGGACACCAATAAGAAGAAAAGACTTGCTTGGGCCAAGAAACACGAGCAATGGACATTACACCGGTGGAAATGTGTCCTTTGGTCTGGAGTCCAAATTGAAGATTTTTGGTTCCAACCACCGTGTCTTTGTGAGACGCGGTGTGGGTGAACGGATGATCTCTGCATGTGTATTTCCCACCGTAAAGCATGGAGGAGGAGGTGTTATAGTGCTTTGCTGGTGACACTGTCTGTGATTTATTTAGAATTCGAGGCACACTTAACCAGCATGGCTACCACAGCATTCTGCAGCGATACGCCATCCCATCTGGTTTGGGCTTGGTGGGACTATCATTTGTTTTTCAACAGGACAATGACCCAACACACCTCCAGGCTGTGTAAAGGCTATTTGACCAAGAAGGAGAGTGATGGAGTGCTACATCAGATGACCTGCCCTCCACAATCCCCCGACCTAAACCAAATTGAGATGGTTTGGGATGAGTCGGACAGCAGAGTGAAGGAAAAGCAGCCAACAAGTGCTCAGCATATGTGGGAACTCCTTCAAGACTGTTGGAAAAGCATTCCAGGTGAAGCTGGTTGAGAGAATGCCAAGAGTGTGCAAAACTGTCATCAAGGCAAAGGGTGGCTATTTGAAGAATCTCAAATATAAAATATATTTGGTTACTACATGATTCCATATGTGTTATTTCATAGTTTTGATGTCTTCACTATTATTCTATAATGTAGAAAATAGGAAAAATAAAGAAAAACCCTTGAATGAGTAGGTGTTCTAAAACTTTTGACCAGTAGTGTATATAAGGTCCCACAGTTGACAGTGCATGTCAGAGTAAAAGCCAAGCCATGAGGTCGAAGGAATTGTCCGTAGAGCTCCGAGACAGGATTGTGTCGAGGCATAGATCTGGGGTAAATAGCGGTGCAGCAACGCTCCCCATCCAACCTGGCAGAGCTTGAGAGGATCAGCAGAGAAGAATGGGAGAAACTCCCCAAACAAAGTGGCCTCCATCATTCTTAAATGGAAGAAGTTTGGAACCACCAAGACTCTTCCTATAGCTGGCTGCCCGGCCAAACTGAGCAATCGGGGGAGAAGGGCCTTGGTCAGGGAGGTGACCAAGAACCCGATGGTCACTGACAGACCTCCAGAGTTCCACTGTGGAGATGGGAGAACCTTTGTCGTGGAGATTCTAATCAATAAGGAGGAGCGACAAGGTCAGTCACCAATCAGGATATCACTTTATTCAAAACGTATTAATAGGGTAGCAAGTGAGGCTGGTCAACCCAACACTCGAGTGTTGGGCCGAGAGCTCTCCTCCCTCTCTCCCTCCAGGACCAGTAAACCTCTCCTCCCTCTCTCCCTCCAGGACCAGTAAACCTCTCCTCCCTCTCTCCCTCCAGGACCAGTAAACCTCTCCTCCTTCTCTCCCTCCAGGACCAGTAAACCTCTCCTCTCTATCCCTCCAGGACCTGGGCTCGGGTTCGGACAGCGACATAAGCCTGTCCTCCATGATCTTTCTGAACCACAGCAGTGGGTCTGATGACTCGGCGGGGGAAGGGGAGAGAGGGAGCGGGCTGGACCACTCCATGGTGCTGCTGGACCTCAGTGACGTCCCCCCTGAGGACCCCCGTGGTAACCTCTGGAGGCTGTACTTCGGCAGCTCCTATGAGTCCGAGCTGGGCAACCCTTCCCCCTCAGGATTGGTGAGATGATGATGATGATGATGATGACCATCTGCATCCCAAACAGCACCTTGTTCTCTATGTAGTGAACTACCTTTGACCAGGGCCCTATGGGCCCATAGGGTACTGGTCAAAAGTAGTGCACGATATTGGGAATAGGGTGCCATTTGGAACACCGACATGTAGTCCCATGTAGATGATCAATGGATGGTCATACTATCAAACTATCTAAGCAACTTCTTGCTAAAAACAAGGGTTAGGATAAGGGTTAGGGTTAGTGGATAGTTTGTTGAAATGTTGTTGACAGTTATTGACATCTACAAACGATCTACAAATTTACTTGGGACTATCCAAATAAAGTGTTACCCCTTGTAGGCCTATAAGTTATTAGCAACATTAGCTAATCTTTTTAAATGACATTCACTCCTTTATCTGCAGAGTTCTGTCTAAAGCTGTTTTGTCCTCACCCCCCCCTCTCTGTCTGTCCCCGTAGAACTCCCAGGGTATCTCGGGGCCCAACTCTAATGACCTGACCGGTGCGTCTGTCAGAGACTGCTCCCACCCCCCGGCCTATATGTCCTCTCTACAGGACGGCTACGAGGAGCTCAGCCATGAGCAGCTAGAACGCCTCCGACTGGAAATCAGCAACATCAAGAGCAACTACAGACGAGCAACTGTCAGTTCTTTATCTAGAATAGTAACTCTGTTAATAAAGCACTTTTCATACATTTCTCTCAAAGCACTAGTAACTGTAGAAGGTGTTTCCTTTCTGTTTGTCTGTCTGTGCAGGAGGACAGTGTCCCAGTCCAGGGTGGCCCCAGCAGGCCAGGTCTGCTCCTGTGTCAGGCCCACCTCACCTCAGCCCTGGCTGCCACCAGAGCCTCCCTCAGCAAGCAGGACTGGAGGAGGTACACAGACCTGTGAGTAGTGCTACAGTAAATCTTTGCTTTCCATAAAAATGTCAATACTTTGAGCAAATATTTGATCAATTTCTCAGGAAATCAACACACCAAATATACGCAGACCCACGAGCCACTGCGGCCCCTCATGATGAGTTCCGGTTTTTGTGGCCCCCACCCCCATCAAAGTTGCCCATCCCTGGTCTAAAGCATTTTTCTTTCCAACCTTGTTGTTTCTGTCTTATCAGGTATGAGTCCTTTGGAGCTTTGGGAGAAGGAAAGTCTCAGAGCACAGTGACGTTCAAACCCGGCCAAAGAGTAACCCTCGCTTAACGACACGTATGTCTCTACAGTATCTGTTCAATTTGGCCTGCTAATTGAATGGTAGTTTTGTTGTAATTTAGCCATCATTGATTTATTTATTCGTAATGTATCTTCTACATAATCGGAATCCCATGCACAAGTATGCATTTAAATGTAAATATGATTGTACACTATTGTATGATACGGACATATTGACATTTGATGATTGTAATGATGTTTCCAACTAAATTATCATGGAAAAACATGTAAATCTGTACAATGTATCACAATAAATTAAACAATTTATATCATTGTATGATATTACTTCATTTTTTTTGTATTTCATTTATCATGTTTATTTTCTGACGTTACAACTACAGTACTGTATAAGTGTTATACCACTAATACAGTGGCACATGTTTTCCTGTTAGCAACCAGTAGATCAGGGATCCCCAATTTCGTATATTTTTTCTTGAGCGGCTGGTCGGGGGGCCGGAACATAGTTATAATGTGTACACTGCAAATTGACCGCAAGAAGCCCAAACAGATATAGTATTTGACAAAAACAGAATCATTTCAAACCTTGATGACATTGGGATATGATTACATATGCATGGGAATACTTGAACAGATTTCCTCAATTAAAATCACTTAGCGGAGTTCCTGGTGATTTTAGTCATTTATGTCCAAATAAAATCACTCTGGGGCCGCCTATTGTGGAACCCTGCACTAGATGGCGAAAACGATGCTACTCTATAGAGCCGTTTATACCTTGTACCTTTATGTGGTTTTCGTCATCCGATCAAGATACAATAACTATTACATTTACATTTTAGTCATTTAGCAGACGCTTTTATCCAGAGCGAACTATCTGATGAAGATCGATCACGTCTACACAATAGCCCCATTTATACCTGGTGCTAACGTGTCCTGATCATCAATCAATCAAATGTATTTATAAAGCCCTTTTTACATCAGCAGATGTCAGTCACAAAGTGCTTATACAGAAACCCAGCGTAAAACCCCAAACAGCAAGCAATGCAGATGTAGAAGCATGGTGGCTAGGAAAAACTCCCTAGAAAGGAACCAGGCTCTGAGGGGTCGCCAGTCCTCTTCTGGATGTGCTGGTAGAGATACAGTGGGGAAAAAAAGTATTCAGTCAGCCACCAATTGTGCGAGTTCTCCCACTTAAAAAGATGAGAGAGGCCTGTAATTTTAATCATAGGTACACGTCAACTATGACAGACAAATTGAGAATTTTTTTTTCCAGAAAATCACATTGTAGGATTTTTAATGAATTTATTTGCAAATTATGGTGGAAAATAAGTATTTGGTCACCTACAAACAAACAAGATTTCTGGCTCTCACAGACCTGTAACAACTTCTTTAAGAGGCTCCTCTGTCCTCCACTCGTTACCTGTATTAATGGCACCTGTTTGAACTTGTTATCAGTATAAAAGACACCTGTCCACAACCTCAAACAGTCACACTCCAAACTCCACTATGGCCAAGACCAAAGAGCTGTCAAAGGACACCAGAAACAAAATTGTAGACCTGCACCAGGCTGGGAAGACTGAATCTGCAATAGGTAAGCAGCTTGGTTTGAAGAAATCAACTGTGGGAGCAATTATTAGGAAATGGAAGACATACAAGACCACTGATAATCTCCCTCGATCTGGGGCTCCACACAAGATCACACCCAGTGGGGTCAAAATGATCACAAGAACGGTGAGCAAAAATCCCAGAACCACACGGGGGGACCTAGTGAATGACCTGCAGAGAGCTGGGACCAAAGTAACAAAGCCTACCATCAGTAACACACTACGCCGCCAGGGACTCAAATCCTGCAGTGCCAGACGTGTCCCCCTGCTTAAGCCAGTACATGTCCAGGCCCGTCTGAAGTTTGCTAGAGTGCAGAAGAGGATTGGGAGAATGTCATATGGTCAGATGAAACCAAAATAGAACTTTTTGGTAAAAACTCAACTCGTCGTGTTTGGAGGACAAAGAATGCTGAGTTGCATCCAAAGAACACCATACCTACTGTGAAGCATGGGGGTGGAAACATCATGCTTTGGGGCTGTTTTTCTGCAAAGGGACCAGGACGACTGATCCGTGTAAAAGAAAGAATGAATGGGGCCATGTATCGTGAGATTTTGAGTGAAAACCTCCTTCCATCAGCAAGGGCATTGAAGATGAAACGTGGCTGGGTCTTTCAGCATGACAACGATCCCAAACACACCACCCGGGCAACGAAGGAGTGGCTTCGTAATAAGCATTTCAAGGTCCTGGAGTGGCCTAGCCAGTCTCCAGATCTCAACCCCATAGAAAATCTTTGGAGGGAGTTGAATGTCCGTGTTGCCCAGCGACAGCCCCAAAACATCACTGCTCTAGAGGAGATCTGCATGGAGGAACGGGCCAAAATACCAGCAACAGTGTGTGACAACCTTGTGAAGACTTACAGAAAACGTTTGACCTGTGTCATTGCCAACAAAGGGTATATAACAAAGTATTGAGAAACTTTTGTTATTGACCAAATACTTATTTTCCACCATAATTTGCAAATAAATTCATAAAAAATCCTACAATGTGATTTTCTGGAAAAGAAATTCTAATTTTGTCTGTCATAGTTGACGTGTACCTATGATGAAAATTACAGGCCTCTCTCATCTTTTTAAGTGGGAGAACTTGCACAATTGGTGGCTGACTAAATACTTTTTTTCCCCACTGTAAGAGCACCTGGCCATTAAGGCTAGATCATTCTTCAAAATGTTCATAGATGACCAGCAGGGTCAAATAAAAATCACAGCACCTCAGGAGTAAATGTCAATTGGCTTTTCATAGCTGAGCATTCAGAGGTTGAGACAGCAGGTGCGGTAGAGAAAGAGAGGGGGTCAAAACAGCAGGTGCGGGATAAGGTAGCAGGTCCAGTGAACAGGTCAGGGTTTCATAGCCGCAGGCAGAACAGCAGAAACTGGATCAGCAGCACGACCAGGTGGACTGGGGACAGGGACAGCCAGGAATCGCCTGGCCAGGTAGTCCTGAGGCATGGTCCAAGGGCTCAGGTCCTCCGGGAGAGAGAGAGAGATTGGAGAATTAGATGGAGCATACTTAAGATCACACAGGACACCAGTTAAGACATGAGACACAAGGGACACTGTGGCCATGTCCGACGATACCCCTAGACAGGGCCAACCGGGCAGGATATACAGTGCATTCGGAAAGTATTCAGACCACTTGACTTTTTCCACATTTTGTCACAGCCTTATTCTAAAATTGATTAAATAAAAAATGTTCCTCATCAATCTACTCACCAATACCCCATAATGAAATGTTTGCAAATGTATTAAAAATAAACTGATATTACATTTACATAAGTATTCAGACCCTTTGCTATAAGATTCGAAATTGAGCTCAGGTGCATCCTGTTTCCATTGATCATCCTTGAGATGTTTCTACAACTTGACTGGAGTCAACCTCTGGTAAATTCAATTGATTGGACATGATTTGGAAAGGCACACACCTGTCTATATAAAGGTCCCACAGCAGACAATGCATTTCAGAGCAAAAACCAAGCCATGAGGTCGAAGAAAATTGTCTGTAGAGCTCCGAGACAGGATTGTGTCATGGAGGCCACTGAGTCCCCAAGAACTCAGTGGCCTCCATCATTCTTAAATGGAAGAAGTTTGGAACCACCAAGACTTCCTAGAGCTGGGCGCCTGGCCAAACGGAGCAATCGGGGGAGAAGGGCCATGGTCAGGGAGGTGACCAAGAACCTGATGGTCTCTCTGACAGATCTCCAGTTCCTCTGTGGAGATGGGAGAAACTTCCAGAAGGACAACCATCTCTGCAGTACTCCACTAAATCAGGCCTTTATGGTAGAGTGGCCAGATGGAAGCTACTCCTCAGTAAAAGGCACATGACAGCCCGCTTGGAGTTTGCCAAAAAGCACCTAAAGGACTCTCAGACCATGAGAAACATGATTCTCTGATCTGATGAACCAAGATTGAACTCTTTGGCCTGAATGCCAAGTGTCACGTCTGGAAGAAACCTGGCACCATCCCTACAGTGAAGCATGGTGGTGGCAGCATCATGCTGTGGGGATGTTTTTCAGTGGCAGAGACTGGGAAACTAGTCAGAATCGAGGGAAAGATGAACGGAGCAAAGTACTGAGAGATCCTTGATGAAAACCTGCTCCAGAGCGCTCAGGACCTCAGACTGGGGAGAAGGTTCACCTTCCAACAGGACAACGACCCTAAGCACACAGCCAATACAACGCAGGAGTGGCTTCGGGACAAATCTCTGAATGTCCTTGATTGGCCCAGCTAGAGCCCAGACTTGAACCCGATCGAACATCTCTGGAGAGACCTGAAAATAGCTGTGCAGCGACGCTCCCCATCCAACCTGACAGAGCTTAAGAGGATCTGAAGAGAAGAATGGGAGAAAACTCCCCAAATACAGGTGTGCCAAGCTTGTAGCGTCATACCCAAGAAGACTCGAGGCTGTAATCGCTGCCAAAGGTGCTTCAACAAAGTACTGAGTAAAGGGTCTGAATATTTATATAAAATGTGATATTTCAGGTATTTTTTTTCATATGTTTGCAAACATTTCTAAAAACCTGTTTTTGCTTTGTCATTATGGGGTATTGTGTGTAGATTGATGAGGGGGAAAAAAACTATTTAATACATTTTTTAATAAGGCTGTAACATAACGAAATGTGGAAAGTGTCAAGGGGTCTGAATGCTTTCTGAATGCACTGTAACCCCACCCACTTTGCCAAAGCACAGCACCCACAACACCAGAGGGATATCAACAGACAAGGTATAGCCCACAAAGATCTCCCCCACCACACGAGCCCGAGGGGGTGCAAGACCGGACAGGAAGATAACGTCAGTGACTCAACCCACAGTCAAGTATAGCGAAGAAAGCCTGGCAAGACGTGATGCACCCCTCATAGGGACGGCATGGAAGAGCACTAGCAAGCCAGTGACTCAGCCCCCGTAATAGGGTCAGAGGCAGAGAATCCCAGTGGAGAGAGGGTAGCCGGCCAGTCAAAGACCGCAAGGGTGGTTTCGTCACTCCAGTGCCTTTCCGTTCACCTTCGCACCCCTGGGCCAGACTACACTCAATCATAGGACCTACTGAAGAGATAGATGAGACAGAGTCTGTGTTTCTCACATGGATCGGCAGACCTTTCCATAAAAATGGAGCTCTATAGGAGAAAGCCCTGCCTCCAGCTGTTTGCTTAGAAATTCTAGGAACAATAAGCAGGCCTGGGTCTTGTGACCGTAA